TTAAACCAACAAATTCCGTTAAATAGATACTTTTTATATATAGAAAGATATAATGATGTCATAAAGCCATTTGTATAGGTTAAAGTTATAACCTCCATTACATGTTATATTATAATTTATAAGGGTCATAACGACATTTTGATTACTAATACTCTCACATGTTCCAAAATTTATAACTCCACTAATGGTTATATTATTGTTGTAAATTCCATTTTATTTTGTATTCTTAATTACCACGTGGAATCCTATTTGCCCGTGCAGCCCAAGTAACCTCTTTTGACTTCCATCAGTTACAAGTCTTCCGTCAAGAGTATAAAATTTTCAGTCAAATTTAACGGTGGGAACTGGGAAGATTCTAATCAATCCGAGAATAAATTAGTTAGCCCGCATTAGGAGCCTTAATCTGGAGTTTTCTGAGGTGGGTCTGCAAGAAAATGGAGAATGGTGGAGTGGCTTTTGCGCCAATAGTGGGGGTGGTGGTGTTTGTTTTGAAGGGGAACAAGGTGTTGTTGGGGCGGCGCCGCTCCGCCGTTGGCTGCAACACCTTTGCGCTGCCTGGTGGCCACCTTGAATTTGGTGAGTTTTTTTTTTTTTTCAAGTTTTTACACTGTTTTTATTGACTTATTGTGATTATGATAGTTAAGTATCATTTTAATTGATTAGGAATGTTAAAAAGTGAAGTAAATTTGTGTTATAGGTAAAATAGGTTCTTGAAATGCAATGGAAACTTGTAAAATGATGGGGAAGAAGAAATCCCTTACCTTGGAAAATAATTCAACTTTGTGGCATTGAGATTTCAAGGTTTAGCTTACGATACGACCCTACTACTCGTCATATTTGTACTCTTATCCGTATCGCACTTGACTGTGAAGAAACAACATTTGCTATAGCACATGACTTCGAAAGTGACAACGATATTACTTATGTGTGAGAATCTTGCTATATTGCCAAAATTGCTATCTTCCTTGACAACTTTTACATCCAATCATTTGTTGTCACTGCATCAATCAAATAGGTGGGTAATAATTTCTGGCAATTAACTCCTTGTTTGAATAATTTAGCTTCTGACTTCTCAAAAAAGTACATTAAGACGTCTTCTACTAGAGTTCTTTCTCTAGTAGGATGGCCATGCCTTTAGGATGTCCATGATAATTTGAATCATGGGTACGTGAATATTTCACTGGAAACAAATTTTGAGAAACACTGGACCTTAATCTTGCAGTTATAGTCATCTATTTTGAGCAAATCAATTTTCAATTTTTTGATTTCATATCACTGCCCATTTTAGGAAACAGAGGCTTAAAAAACATGTATCGGCATCTGCGAAAAGCATAAAATTCCAGGGTTAAACTAGTACATAAATGATCTTGAATCTTTATAAACAGAAAACTTGAAATCTTGCCCCAGGCTAAGATCTCAGTAAGACTTTCGACGCTGAACGGGGAGAACAGTGGAATGTGTGTTTCTGTTGTAAGATTGTGATAGATCATGAAGGTATATACATAATACAATAGTGCTAGCACTTTCTGCAGAATTTTCCTCTAATTGTGTGTAGACTTTGGAGTTTTAACTCGAAAATTTTGTGAGATATTAAGGTGAATTCTCTATAGACCTTATTCAATCCAGTTGTGCAAGCCGAGCAGAAATTTCTCCACGTACTTTCAACTCCGATTGCAATATAGTTTATGCCAACTACAATTGCGACGTAGTAAAGTGAATACAAAGATTTATGTGGCAAACCCACCCTCTTATTTAATTTGGGTTAAAAACAACAGATTACCTAACCAAGGTCTCTATTGAACAATTCTCTCTTGAAATAGGAGAAAACACAAGTCCGAAACACTAACGGGGATCTCATTTATTTTTCGCTATTGAAGCTCTCTCCTTGCTTGAAAATCGAAATAGTGAAGGGGTCTTTTTTTGGAGAAACAGAAAATTGAGGTTTCTCCTTGTTTTGGTGCATAAGAAGCCATCCAAAAATGGCTTTATTCAGTTCATGTCCCATCTATTTCAATCTTTCTTTTGCTTTTCAGGGGAAAGCTTTGAGGAATGTGCAGCCAGGGAGACGAAGGAAGAAACTGGACTAGACATTGATAAAATTGATTATTTAACTGTCACCAACAATGTCCTCTCGAGAGAAGTAAAACCATTACATGTAGTTGCCATCTGCATGCGCGCAGTCCTGGTGGATCAAAATCAAATGCCTCAAAATCTTGAGCCTGATAAATGTGATGGTTGGGATTGGTATGACTGGAATGATCTCCCCAAACCCCTTTTCGGGCCATTGGAAACTATGGTGAGGAATGGTTTAAATCCTTTTTCCCACCAATCAAAATGATAATCGACATTCACCTGAGATGGGAGAGACAAAGCTGCTGTATTTTAGCCCATTTCTGCATTCTTTCTTGAATTTATGTGCATATAAACTAGAATTTCGACCTTTCTATAACCTTCCTTGCAATTGGAAAATGAGCATGCTTGTTTATCTCTTCTAGAAGTAATGTAGTTAGGCATGATAGGTTAGCTACACCTACATGTTATCTATCAATGCTACTTCCTGATATAGCCATGAAATTGGAAGTTCATGAAAACGTTAAATTTCATGCCCTTGTCTTGCATTTTGTTGAATATATTTGCTTAAAGCCATTGCTTCTTCTCGGCTACTTCTCAGCTGAATGGTTTAATTTCAAAAACCTTTCTATTTGCATACTCGAATCTATGCAGAGCATGATTGTCGTTAGTGATGCTATTATGCGTAGGCAAGGTGAGTCGCAAGGCTCTGTTTAGTTGGGAAAATAAGAAGTAATATTTCAACGGAAAGCATATGGTTTTAAAAAGGTTCATTCATTCTTTCTTTCTATTCAATTATTTCACAAGATGAATCTGTTTGCATATTATTATTAACTGATAATCTAAAAGTGTAACGATTTTTCTATTTTGTGAGTTGGATCTTGTAACCACAACAAACAACACGCTCTTCAAGCCACCATGTCTACCTGAATATTCTCGTAAGACGACTACACGAGTTAAACCTTTGTAATCGAGAAACTGTCAAGACACCGGTGTCAAGAACGATAACATAAACGAAAAACTCAAGATCAATCAGAATAAAATTCAATGTCTTAGATTAATAAAAATGAACAACTAAAACAATGGTTGATGTCTTGGGTCTTTAAACACGTTCTCAACAAGCTCAACTATCAAGAAGTTCAAAGGACAAAGGTCAACCACTACACTATTTCCCAAACAAATTACAGCAAACGAGAATTAAAGGAACATGAAAAAAAGAGGCAAGATTAATGAAATAAAAGTAGTGCTGAAACCATGTGCAACTACCACTGCGACGAAGTTTCATGACTTGTGGACACTGCATCATCGTCCCCGGGCAAGAGAAGTTGTGTCATTGAATCTTGCATGTATTTTCATCTCTGACTCGTAATGAAAATCTACTTGTTCAGAAAGTAACAAAACCCCTTAATCAAGCCAAACATGCGGACCGGTCCAAGCTAGTCCAGGATTACCTTTAAAACTTTAGGCTCAGTTAAAGCAACAACGTGCTTTAATGGCTTTCGATTATCCATCCTGATTCTGTCTTGTTATTTTCGATCTCCTCCATCAGCTCGTTGATTCGAGCATGGGACCATGAAATCAATCCAACAACTGGGCACTCAACTTCATAGTAAGACTCATCTCAAATAATCACAAATTCTATAACCTCATTGCAGGACCCATTAACCACTGAAATCAATTCGAATGGCTTCGAGGAAGGTTGAGATTTCTTTTGTGACAATCTGTTAGCTTCAGAAAACAAGGCTGGGATAAACAATTAAGGAAGAGAGAAACTCCAAGAGAGGGACAGAAGATGGAGGAAGAAATTATATTTCTCAAACTTAATGAAAGCAACATATACAACTTCATTAAATAGCCTTCAGCCAAAAAAGAAGCGGGAATGCAGCTAAGATGTAATTGGCTGAAATCTCAACTAACTAACTAATAACAAAACTAACTGTATGGAAATGAAAAACGTGAGCTGACTATTTACATTGATGAGTTGTTTATTTACAATTGAGTTAATACTCCCCCTCAAGATGTACTGTAAACAAGAGCTGATGCATGAAGAGGTTTAGTGAAAACATCAGCTAGTTGGAGTTGAGATCGAATTGGAAGAAGCTTTAAAATACTGGCTGTAACTTTGTCCTGAATGAAGTAACAATCTATTTTTATATGTTTAATCCTTTGGTGAAAAATAGGATTAGAAGCAATTTGTATGGCTGCTTGATTGTCGCAAAAGAGAACTGCTGAGCATAAAACTTGCATTTGAAAGTCTTTCAACAATTGATGGATCCATAAAACGTCACTGATAGTGGCGGTAAGGGCTCTGTATTCTGCTTTCGCTGATGAACGAGAGATAATCTCTTGCCTTTTCGCTTTCCAAGATACTAGAGATTCTCCAATGAAAATGCAAAAACCAGTTGTGGATTTCCTAGTGTCCACGCACGAGCCCCAATTTGCATCAGAAAATGCTTGAAGTCTGATGGCTGAGGTAGAATGCTGGGCTGTTCTTGAAGTGGTAAGAGACGAAGCTGAAAAGAACAACCCTTGACCACGATTATTTTTCAGATATCTAAGAAGATGCTGAACTCCTTTGAGATGAGGCAGTCTAGGTTGTGATAAGAATTAGCTCAATTTGTGGATAGCATAAGTAATATCTGGGCGTGAAATTGTCAAATAAATCAATCGACCAAGAAGCCTTCTATAGTGAGATGCATCAGGTAAAAGGACCCCTTCATGTATACTGAGAGAAATCTTGGGATCCGTAGTAGTATTAACAGGTTTTCAATCTAAGTGTCATGTGTCTTCAAGAAGTTGCAGGGCATAATGTCTCTGTGATATCACAATGTCGGAGGTGGAACGAGCAACCTCAATACCCAAGAAATATTTCAATGATCCTAGATCTTTCAGCTTAAATTGAGAGTTTAAGAACTCCTTTAGACGTTCAATAGCTTGCAAATTTGGACAAGTTATTACTATGTCATCGACATAGACTAGCAATGCCACAAAATTATTTGCAGATCCTCTTGTGAATTAGGAATAATCCGCTTTAGATTGAGTGAAACCAAAATGTATGAGTGCCTGTGAAAACTTGCAATTCCACTGTCTCGATGCTTGCTTGAGTCCATATATGGACTTATGTAATTTGCACACTAATCTCTTCCCCTGCCTGGCCTTGCTACCAGCATCATATCCAAGGGGAAGATCCATATACACTTCTTCAAATAGATCACCATTCAAGAATGTGTTGTTAACATCTAGCCGGTTTAAGTACCAATTCTGACTTGCTACAAGTGCCAAAAGAACTTTAACAGCGACTATCTTTTCCACTGGAGAAAAGGTATCAAAATAGTCTAGTCCTTTTTATTGTGTGTAGCCTTTTGCTATTAGACGTGCTTTATACCTTTCTATTGAACCATTTGACTTGTACTTGATCTTGTATATCCATCTACAGCCCACAGAATTCTTTCCCTGTGGTAGAGAAACAATAGACCAAGTATGGTTTAGCTCCATAGCCTCCAACTCCATTTTCATAGCACGTCATTCAGAATGTTTGATTTCTTGGTGAAAGAATTGTGGCTCACAATTAGAAGAAACATTTAAGGCCAATTGTTTGTGAGAAGTAGATAATTTTGCATAGGAAAGGAAGTTCCCTATGTGATGAGATGACTTATTGACATGGCTTGGTTTAACATTGAACATGCTACAATGAAAATCTTTTAAATAAGTTGGAGGTTTGACAGCCCTTTGTGATCTTCGAGTATCAACAATAGGTGGTGCAACATCTAATGGATTTTCATCAGAAAGATGTTGTGTATCAACACTAAGCATTTCATCAATAGAATGTAATTCCGGAATAGACATATCTGGCTGATTTGGATCTGGCTGATGTGGAGTGAACTGATAAGAGCATCTTGATGAGTTTCGATGGAAGATACAGGTATAGGCAACACTAGATCAGGAAATGGATCAACAAGTTGGCCTCTCTCTACTACTGTGTGGAAGGGATAAATTTCTTCATGGAAAATGACATCTCGTGATATAAAAATCTGCTCTGTAACCACATCATACAACTTGTAACCTTTGACCCCAGACGGATAGCCCAGAAACACACATGTTCTAGCTCTAGGTTGAAACTTGTTTATCTCAGCGATTAATGTTGATGCAAAGGCCAAACACCCAAAAACTCTGAGATATGAGTAGTCTGCTGCTTTATTGTACAAGATCTCATATGGAGTTTTGTGTTTCAACAGAGGAGAGGGTGTTCTATTAATCAAGAATGTGGCTGTCAAAACGAATATGTCCAAAATTTTATTGGAACACGAGACTGGAAAAATAGATCTTTTGCGACATTGAGAAGATGCTGATGTTTGCGTTCTACAATCGAATTTTGTTGTGGTCTTTTAACACAACTAAATTGATGTAACACTTCCTTTTCAGCAAAATAATCATTGAAAGCTAGTTCTTGAGCATTGTCTGATCTAAATGACTTAATTTTGGCACCAAATTGACTTGCTACTATATTAAAAAACCTTGGAACAACAATGGCAGCATCAGATTTGTTTTTCAGCAAGTATACCCATGTGAACCTAGAACAATCATCCACCAAAGTCAAAAAGTATTTGTGGCCAAATGTCACAATGTACAAGGTCAAATGGAGAACCAGAACTATGGTTGTTCGAATCAAATGATAACCTTCTTTGTTTAGCAAGAGGACAAATGTAACAAGGAACATTTTTATTGAACTTGCTAACATCACATAACATTTGAGTTTTCAAACTATCCAACCTTCTAAAAGAAAGGTGGCCAAGTCTATTATGTCAAACATGAATGGAAACATTATTCACATAATCATTTGAAACTGAATTCAGAACATTTGTGTCAAGTACATAGAGATCTTGCATTCGTTCACCCCTGCCAGTCATCCTCTTGGTGTTGGTTTCCTGAATGATGAAGTAGTCAGGAAAAAAACTGATTGTAAGGCGCGAATTAGAAGTTAAAGCACTAACAGATAACAAGTTAAACTTGAATTGTGGCACAAATAGAACATTTCGAAGCACAAGAGTATAATGTAGCCTGACATCACCATATAGTCTCATTGGAATCTATGTATGATCCGGTAAAGTAACAGTTGAATTTTCAATGGTTCTCAATGTCATGAAAGCATCAGCAGCAGAACATATATGTTTGGTAGCACCTGAATCTACTATCCAAACATTTTTTGATGATAATATAGGATGTGCAGATACAGATGAGCAATACCTGTAGTATATATGAAGTGACATGATTGTCATTTTGATCAATGGAGCCTGAATTTGATGCTAAGTGTGTAGATAACATAGACATGAGTTGCTAGTATTGACTTGAGCTCAGGTTCTGAACAAAATTTCCAAGTCCAGATTCCTAATTGTTCTGTTTGTCCTCATTCTGAGAAGTGAATGAAGTGGAAATCTGATTAACACGATTAGTACCTGAGGCATTTTGAAAACTTTCCCTCTGTCCAGACTTATAGCCCGGGGGATATCCATGTAACTTGTTGTAACGCCCCGACCCGCATGGATCGGAACATCACTAGATTAACTATACTTTAGCCGTTGACTTAATAGAATTAACCTTACCCTTAGCGGAAAGCTTAAACATTTAATTTATGAAATTTAAATCAACATAATTTGTTAAAAGAAAATAATTCAATACTATAAATAAAACAATTCAAAAATGTCTTTAGAATATCTTCC